CGGTAGGTTCAATTCCTACCAGAGGACCTTGTGCTGCATTTTTCGCAGTCGTTCCTGGTTAGGTCTTAAAATGTATATATTCTCACTTGGATTACAAACCCTAACATTATAATATTAAGTCCACCAAGTGAAGTGCAAGAATCCAAATTATTGAAGTCCACCTTATCATAACCCACACACCCGATTACTTAAATATGCATGAACTTACGGTTAAAGCTCAACAGCTGGCCTCTGTAGCTCAGTTGGTTAGAGCGCTGCACCGGAATCGCAGGGCCGTAGGTTCAATTCCTACCAGAGGACCTTGTGCTGCATTTTTCCCAGCCGTTCCTGGTTAGGTCTTAAAATATATATATATTCTCACTTGGATTACAAACCCTAACATTCAAATATTAATTCCAACAAGTGAAGTGCAAGAATCCAAATTATTGAAGTCCACCTTATCATAACCCGCACACCCGATTACCTAAATATACATGAACTTATGGTTAAAGCTCAACAGCTGGCCTCTGTAGCTCAGTTGGTTAGAGCGCTGCACCGGAATCGCAGGGCCGTAGGTTCAATTCCTACCAGAGGACCTTGTGCTGCATTTTTCGCAGTCGTTCCTGGTTAGGTCTTAAAATGTATATATTCTCCCTTGGATTACAAACCCTAACATTCTAATATTAAGTCCACCAAGTGAAGTGCAAGAATCCAAATTATTGAAGTCCACCTTATCATAACCCGCACACCCGATTACTTAAATATACATGAACTTACGGTTAACGCTCAACAGCTGACCTCTGTAGCTCAGTTGGTTAGAGCGCTGCACCGGAATCGCAGGGCCGTAGGTTCAATTCCTACCAGAGGACCTTGTGCTGCATTTTTCGCAGTCGATCCTGGTTAGGTCTTAAAATGTATATATTCTCACGCGGATTACAAACCCTAATATTCTAATATTAAGTCCACCAAGTGAAGTGCAAGAATCCAAATTATTGAAGTCCACCTTATCATAACCCGCACACCCGATTACTTAAATATACATGAACTTACGGTTAAAGCTCAACAGCTGGCCTCTGTAGCTCAGTTGGTTAGAGCGCTGCACCGGAATCGTAGGGCCGTAGGTTCAATTCCTACCAGAGGACTTTGTGCTGCATTTTTCGCAGTCGTTCGTTGTTAGGTCTTAAAATGCATATATTCTCACTTGGATTACAAACCCTAACATTCAAATATTAATCCCAACAAGTGAAGTGCAAGAATCCAAATCATTGAAGTCCATCTTATCATAACCCGCACACCCGATTACCTAAATATACATGAACTTATGGTTAAAGCTCATCAGCTGGCCGAGCTGTAGCTCAGTTGGTTAGAGCGCTACACCGGAATCGCAGGGCCGTAGGTTCAATTCCTACCAGAGGACCTTGTGCTGCATTTTTCGCAGTCGTTCCTGGTTAGGTCTTAAAATGTATATATTCTCACTTGGATTACAAACCCTAACATTCTAATATTAAGTCCACCAAGTGAAGTGCAAGAATCCAAATTATTGAAGTCCACCTTATCATAACCCGCACACCCGATTACTTAAAATTTAATATACATGAACTTACGGTTAAAGCTCAACAGCTGACCTCTGTAGCTCAGTTGGTTAGAGCGCTGCACCGGAATCGCAGGGCAGTAGGTTCAATTCCTACCAGAGGACCTTGTGCTGCATTTTTCGCAGTCGTTCCTGGTTAGGTCTTAAAATGTATATATTCTCACTTGGATTACAAACCCTAACATTCTATTATTAAGTCCACCAAGTGAACTGCAAGAATCCAAATTATTGAAGTCCACCTTATCATAACCCGCACACCCGATTACTTAAATATACATGAACTTACGGTTCAAGCTCAACAGCTGGCCTCTGTAGTTCAGTTGGTTAGAGCGCTGCACCGGAATCGCAGGGCAGTAGGTTCAATTCCTACCAGAGGACCTTGTGCTGCATTTTTCGCAGTCGTTCCTGGTTAGGTCTTAAAATGTATATATTCTCACTTAAAATGTATATATTACAAACCCTAACATTCTAACCCTAACATTCTAACATTTGAAATTAAGGATTTGGAGGTTTTGCGATCACCGACAACTTGATAATTTTATAAAACAAAACACTTCTATCTCCAACTTTTACAATCACTGATAAATTGATAATAATTTAAACCAGTCTAGCTGTAGTTTAATTAGAGAATAATACATGGGTGCACGAAATACCAGATTTATTTCGAGTGTTGAACATGAGTGTGCAGCGAACAAGTGAGCGCAGCGAACGAGTGAAATGTCATGTTCAACACAAAAAATAAATCTGGTATTTCCAACCACCCATGTATTTTTCTGTTTATTATATAAAGGACAGTCTTAAATGAAAAGCGATAATGTTTACAGAAAAGCGATAATTGAAAAGGCGATAAATTATTACATGTGAGATTATCATGAATAATTTCACATCTGAGATTATCATTTTTGTCAGTGCTCGAAAACTCTGCAAAACACTATACTTTATATAATAAAAATTCATAAATTTGAACCATGCTAGAGCATGACAACAGCAAAATGCTCTGTAGTATGATGCACAATATTTTGGGAGGTGATCGAAATACACGAACAATAAATCAGAGAGTGTTTGCTTGGAACTCACTGGGGGGGGGGGGTGCAACACCCCTGATTATTGCTCATGATGAATTTCAGGTAGATTTCCAGTGCACTTTTAGTACCTACATTTAAGTAGATTTGCAGAAGATTTTCAGGGGAATTCAGGTAATTCCCAGGACATGACTGAGAAAGTGAATTTGGAAAACAACTGTATTAAATTTCGGAAAAATTATTATATGTCCTGAAAAATTTTTGTACATCTGGAAACTTTTTGGTAACCCCCCCCCTCTATCTAACCCCCCCCCCTGCGACAAAGTGCTCGCAACGGCACTGAGTATATATCTTTTGAAAACAGGCGAGGGGTTATTGCATGCATGTATTTCTAGTTTTAGATTACAAACGGGAAATTGATACCCAAACACCCGATTTTTAGCTCTTTCAAGCTGTTATGAAATTTTTGTCTAGACTTGTCTGGATCAAAATTTTAGTTATAAGGTTAAAGGTCCATTGATGCACCTAATCTTTCTTCCGAAAATTAAACAACACGAAGGAACAACCTGTGGATGCCCGTTCTGACAATTTTGAAAAATGCGGCCACAAAATAAACGCTTTGTTTACGTTCCCCAACGCCCCCTTTCTGCCGCCCAGTCTACGCGAAGTGCGAAAGCTTTCGAAAAGCTTAATTTTGAGGAAAATTAAGAATATCTGTTTCACTTCACTGCACAGACGAAGTAGTGATCGAGAACTTTAATGCGGACAAGATTTCAAGCCCAGGTATTAAAGAAATGTGGTAAGTTAATCAGTCTATTCATCTGGACAACGACTAGCCTGCGTAGCAGTCGCTTTACTTTATTGTAGGTTTTGAGGATTTTTGAATAAATGACGAGTTAGAAAAATGAACGAAGAAAAAAAGGGTGAGAAAAAACGGCCGAAAAATGAAAGGCGAAGGAAAAATAAAGCGCCTGCAACCGTCCTTAATAAAAATTAATTCCGCCCACTTACTTGAAATTTCCGGCCACATTCCACGGCGAAAACAACCAACCAATCAGACACGAGCCGCAAGTATGAAGTGAAGTGGCGGCGTAATTTATGTAATGAAAACAAACAGACATCGCGCACAACGTGTGAGAGTTTAAGATCTACGGGCAGGCTCAATGAATTTTAGCTCAAGGATGAGCTCTAAGCAATTTGATTACTGTAATAAATGTTTGAAGCTTTCTCAAATAACCTCAAAAATGGCTATAGGCCGTAGGATGAAGGCCTAAATTGTGCCGTTTCATTGCAGCCTCCGAGGGAGATAATAATTTTTACATAGGTAGAAAGAGAAGGTTTAACTTACTTAGAATCCACTTCCCCCCAAGCGAAATAGTTGCACAAATGAGAATAAATCGCCTCCAAAGTTCACGCTCCCTCATGCTTTCAAATTCACGAGCGGCCATTGTTTTCGTTGCCAGCGCGCATGCGTACAAAGGAAAACATTCAAAGCGCATGCGCAGTTGGGGAAAACTGATCTTACACGTAACTGGACGCGAAAAACTGCTTAAAAAAAGCCCTAAATAAGAAAAGGTGAAATCGGCAGCGTTTTGAAAAATAGCAGGTCTTCATGGTTTGTACATTTGAATGATACACAAATATTTAGAGCTATTTAGAGTTATATAGTGTATACCCTCCCGAGAACATTATATTACAAATCAAAGACTAACATTTCAAGAATAATGTAATAAGATATAGGATGATATATACACTACACGATGCTCGCAATCATATTTTAAAACAAGTATACACAACTACCAAAAATAATAAAATGCTCAGAAAACTGTTAATAATGTCCAATTACTTTTTACAATTATTTTTACAATTACTTTTTTACTTTGTCAACTTCTTACAATTAATCATATCACAAAACTGTTAAAAGGTCTTGAGAAAACAAAACAATATATTAAAGTAATTAAACCGCGCTGACTAGAACTTTGTGATGTGTTGCTTATCATGAAAACTGTAACGCGCATTTCTCCATGCAGATTCATCTTTAGTTTACCAAGTATCAGGAACGCCTTTTCGCCAGTCCACTATCCACCATGGAGACTTCTTACTTCCAAGACAACCATACTCATAAAAAAGGGAAAGTTTGAAAAAACCCAGCTTAACACGATGTATGACTATGAGATTATATTATTATGCTTTTATATGCCGAGATGTTAAAATGACTGTTTCGCCCCATATCAGGGCTCATCAGCATGTCTAGAAAACAGATAATACCACAAGTCATGACAAACTGATTCGGAACATGGACAGCCTTACCATACTTCCCTTACAATGGGAAGACTGTCGAGCAATTTGGTTTTAAGGCGCCAAACACTCGCCTTCATCGCTTTTCCATTCGGAAAAAAGGGTGTGGTTAGAAATGGTGACAACTTGGGACATTTCATGGATGTGAAATTGCTCAATGTTTCACACCATCCCAGCCATTTCTAACCCATTAAAGTCCCCCCCCCCTACTCGACAAGTAGAGATAAGCTCTACGTAAAACACTGATAGCCATACAGTGAATAACCTTTTTAGGGTTAGGGTTGGAATTAGTATTAGAGTAGGGCAGGTGTATCAGACTAAAGGTGATTCACTGTATGGCCATTAGTGCTTTCCAAGCTTTACTTGGGCTGGCTGGGAATCGAACCCGCGACATTCGGTTGCCAGTTTGATGATCTACCAACTGAGGTACAGGTCAAGTTGGGAACTAGTTAGTCGAAAGGTGGTTTGTGTTTGATATTTCGAAACAGGTACTATAATATCTTCAATATCGAGACATCTGCCTTTATACATGTACATAGATCAATTGATTTACCTATCTACATGTATAAAGACAGATGTCTCGATAATGAAGATAAAAGAAACTAGTACCTAGTAACAAAAAACTAACTAGTATCAAAGTCTTCATCATCATGTATAGATTTATTTAACATATGTTCCCCAACAAAATCAGATGGACGCAAGTTCTCAGCATAAACAATCTCGCCAACAGTTCTATACTTTTGCATCAAGAAAACAAGTTGAGGGTAACTATTGATTAGTCGTTGCTTGAGGCTGAAAGCCCTGTATTTAGATGCATCAACATTTTCAGTTTCCTTCACAATGACAATAAATTTACTCAGTAACTCCTTCATATACTTTATTGCTTTTCCTTTGATGATTTCCAACTCAATGACATCTTTGCAGAATACTTTGTATGACTTTTCATAGATTGGTGCACATGTGTTTGTCTCTTTTACTGGCTTTGTTATGAATTTGGTGTAGTTATTATAGCAAATTCCATGATAGCGGACCTCCAATGCAACACAGTCTTTGTCTCTAATATGCATTAGTATCTCCTCATCATTTTTCTTCTCAGCAGCAGTACGCAAGAGTCCAGCATCGATTGTTGCTGCCAATACAAGTGGTGTTCTTGTTCTCTTTTTTGTTTTCTACAACAAAGTGCAAATATTTTGAATGCCTGTTTGTCATTTTATACTTATATTAATGATATACTAGCAAGAAATAAACAAACCAATCACCAATGTTCTCATGTTCCCCATAGCGATAGGTTCTTGATATAATAGCTTAAACATGTATACTTTGTATTAGACAAACTAGCTGCAATAGCTTAATTTCCATACTTTAAAAATAGTCAAATACCGATCTCAGTTTAATACATCATGTGCACAGCATTTTATAGTATGATTTTTTTTTATCAATTGAAAACATGAAGAAGTGGTCATACCTTGTCTGTTCTAAACCAAGAAGCATCTCTTCCACAAATAATGCAACACTCTGGCAGTACATACTGATTTCTTCGAGGCAAGGTCTTACTTTGGGCAGCAACTGAACTACATATTTGAGAACTACGCGTAACCTTTCTACTTGGCTCTTCGATTGGTTCCATGGATGAGTCTTCAGTAATAGGAACAGTTTCTGTAATTTGTTTTGCTCGCTTTTCCTCACTTCTCTCTTGTCTTCGGATCTTCTCTTCGTCGCAAAATTTCTTGTAACATCTCATATGGTGGTACCATTTGACAGCAAAGCTGCTTTCGGTGTTCTCGGCCAAATACGTATTCATGAAGTCGTCATCGAACTTATTATACAAACTCTTCGCTATATCAGCTTGTACACAATCAAGTTTAGCCCATTTATGTCTACATTCAATAAATTTCTTTAGCCTTTGACGAGAGACTTGGCAAAGTTGCTCGGTCACCCCTTCAAAATGCATAAAACATGAACTAATTCGAGCATGAGAGATCTCATTTGCATCAGCCATGTTGAATTTCTGTCTTAGCTTATCTGCGCATGCGCATTTAGTGTTGTTTCGTCACACGCATGCGTACTGGCAACGAAAACAATGACCGCTCGTGAATTTGAAAGCACGAGGGAGCGTGAACTTTGAAGGCGATTTATTCTCATTTGTGCAACTATTTCGCTTGGGGGGAAGTGGATTCTTATTAAGTAAGGCATCCTCTTTCTATCTATGTAAAAATTATTATCTCCCTCAAAGCTTGTAATGACATTGGTGGCATTGGCATTGGCATGACATTCTAAGCTCAATTTAGGCCTTCATCCTACGGCCTAATGAAATGTTTCACTTATCGCCCATTTCATGTACTGATATTAAACAAATCATCATGTCTATGCCTTCAAACAAAACACCAGGACCGGACAAAGTTAGTATGAGTGTTTTAAAAGATTCCTTCCTGTTGTTCTTGGTCCAATTACCAACATTATCAATTGCTCCTTCGCCACATCAACATTCCCAGATGATATGAAACTAGCCGAAGTTATTCCCTTATTAAAAGACGGTGATCACGAAGTTGCTTCAAATAATTGCCCTCTTTCCCTCCTAAATACTGTTTCAAAAATTTGTGACAGCTGTCCTCAATCAATTTAATTCCTATTTAACACACAACAAACGACTTGGTGTACAGCAAAGCGGCAGCAAAAAACAGCATTCTACTGAAACTTTAAACTTATTAATTACCGACCATCTATTGGATGCAATGGACAATAAGAAACTATCTGCTGTCATTTTAATTGATCTCTCAAAAGCAGATATGTGAACTCACCCGCATTGAGTGGGTGACACCCGCATTTTGGAATCGTCACACGCGGAAAAATTGGCACAAAATCACCCGCATTAGCAAATTTTGTAGCAATTCACCCACATTCTGTGATTCTGTCTTCTGATTCTTGATTCGTTGTTCTGTTTTTGGTTGGTAGAGTGTATGCATGCGCACATCTACTTCAACTAGACTTAACTCTTAAGACGTTTGTATACATCTGTTTTGTCATAAACAAGAATATAAATATCTATGGAAGTTAGAAATATGGGGCTTAGCAAGGCTTTTATAAATCACCAATCAATTTTCTCAACAACAAAAAATGACGTCATGACAAAAATTATATATGACCCGCATTTTTGTTACTTAGGGTTCACATGTCTGCAAAAGCCTTTGATAGTATCAATCATTCAATCTTATTAAAAAAACTAAGTGCTATTGGAGTATCCCAGGAAACAGTTAAATGGTTTGAAAGCTATCTAACCAGACGTTTTCAAAAAGTCTGCACTGGTTCATCTTTGCATCTCCTCCCTATTACCCACGGTGTACCGCAGGGGGCTATTTTGTCACCATTGCTCTTCTGCATATATACAAACGACCTTCCAACAGTGGCACAATCATGTGATCTGAACTCATTTGTTGACGATTCCAAGATATCTCTGTCAAACAAGTGTCAGATGCCAAACATAAACTTGAGACTGACCTTCGCCTTGTAGATAAATGGTGTTGCAAAAATTCATTATTGATTAATCCCGAGAAAACCAAGTTTCTGTTAGTTGGAATGCGACAGTTACTAAATTTACTATCAGATGATGTCTTTGAATTTTTTAAATAAGACAATCGTTCCTGTCACTTCCATAAGCGACCTTGGAATAATCGTGGACCGCAACTTGACTTATAACGAATATATAACCCAGCTCTCATCAGAGTGCATGGCTAAACTGTGTCAAATTAATCGTGTCAAACATTGTTTTGATCAAAAGACGCTGATTTACATCATCCGTGCGGTAGTTATGGGTCAATTATATTACTGTTCAACAGTTTGGTCAAATACAAGTTCTTCAAATATTAATAAACTACAAGCTGTCCAAAATTTTGCGTGCACAATTATAGCTAATGGGAAAAAATTTGATCACATTACACCAAGATATTGGTTGGCTCCCTGTTAAAGAGCACCTGTTGTTCAAAGATTTGGTCATGATATACAAATGTATAAATAGTCTCGTTCCAACATATCTGTGCGACCTATTTCTTAAACGTAAGGGACTAAACAATCGTGCCACACAAAAAACAATGAAGCACTACATATTCCCCTATGCTCAACCACAACAGGACAAAGAAGTTTTTCGATATAGAGCTGTTGGGTTATGGAATAATTTAGACAATGAGTTGAAAAAACTCCCATTACCAACATTTAAAATCATATTAAAAGAGTTCTTACTAAATCAATATTTTGAAACTTGAATATTTATAGTATATATAAACACTAGTTTAACATGCATGCAAGAAACTTATTCTTATTGTGCTACATTTAAACTTTTTATAAATTCCTTTTGTAATGATTTTTATAAACATTAACTAAGCTGTTAAAAGTATCATTTATCAATAAGTACTGAAAAGCCCTGCGGGGAATACTTCCAATAATAATAATAATAATAATAATAATAATAATGTTTGTTTACTTCGAAAACTTGTGAAACACGCTTAGAGGTAATTGTTTTGTTAATCTGTGTACTTATAATGTAGTGTTCGTATACTTGGATACTTTTTATGCTTTCTATAAACCTAAATAACTAACATATAGTGTTAGTATGCATGCAAATATATTTTTTTAACTTGTAACTAATCAAACGGCCCTTTGAAAATCAGTTTTTATGCTGAAAGGCTACCGTTTTTAAAGAACTTTAAATAATAATAAAATAATGAGAGCAGTTTCCCTGGCCTTATTAGAATTATTTTCAGTTGAAAATGGCTGTGATCGACCATTGGCTTCGACAATCATGTACGCCAATTGGGCAAAACACTTCACAGTCTTCGGCCGATTCAGATTTTTGCCAGGATGTACTCTTTTGTGTGCAGGATAAACAGAATTTATGAAAAAAACACTTCTGGGCATTGTACAAAAGCCGTGTCCACCAACCCTCCATTACAAAAGACACCCACTACTATGCCTTTGACTTGGTGTCTCTTACCCTTTGCACCGATTGCCTTCCTGAAGTTTTCTTAAGGGTCTTTTTGTACAACGAGGATCGACGTTTGTGTTTCTGAGGGGACATTTGGGACACCCTATATTATAAATAAAATAACAAACAAAAATAACTAAAGGAGTGAAGCTTGTTTTCTTCTGAAAGTGTCAAACTGCCATGGACGAATATGGTGTATTACACCACATGTGTTGATGAATAATGCACTGGTCAATTGAAACCCGGACCACTTTTGAACAATAATTTTTGCCAAGGGTGGTAGATTAGATGACTTTCACTAATTCAGGTCCAGTCCCCACCTGGGGATAGGGGACAGTCAAGCATGCTGTGTTCAACTCGTCAAAAAAGTCTCTAAATGGCAAGAAAGTGAAAAGGTATACAGTTTTGTATAATACATTTGAGTTTCATGATTTTTTCTGTGTTGGTGTAATGTACTCAGGTGAATACAATGCTTGTGATGTTGCTCTGAGTGTATATCCCTGTATTGCCCCGTGTGGATATACACTCAGAGTAACATCACAAGCAACATTTGAGTTTGTGGTTTTAAATTAAATTGAACTTTCTATCTTCTTGTTAATTATTAATTTAAAGTTTGTTTTGTTTCATATTTTCACATAGTGTTTTTAGATGTTTATACAAAATATTACAATCAATTTGTAGTCTGAAATTACCAAGTTCGAGGTATTTTTGTCAAATTGACTAAATATCATCAAATGGTTGTGGGGGTTTGTCCCAAAATCGTTCCCCAGGGGCTGGGGGTTTTGAACTAATTTGCTTGGGGTTTTTGTCAAATTCTTCAATTACAGTAAACTTGTCTGTTTGCTTTCGCAAATTTGTTGTGAACTTGCGATGTTCGGAAGGTCACAAGTCTCACAAGCCGGTTTTGTAAACAAAGCCCACTGATTGGTCACTAAAAAAGCAAATCAAATGCTTAGTTTACAAAACTTCCTTGTGAAATATGAACTTGTGACCTTCCGAACTTTGCAAGTTCACAATGAATTTACCAACTTGTAATTAAAAAGAACTGATTGCATACTGTGATTTTCGCTAAAGCTTGGACTCAAAATTAAGTTTTATTGTTACGACCACAAAGCTTTAACATTTCTATGTTATGTCGCATGTTTACATTGAAGATTTCCAACGTTTTGACCAATCATATCGCAAGACTTTGATAGCCACGCCTATTAAATGGTAACAACAATTTGAAATTTGAAGTATGTCAGTTACAGATTTTTAGGCTGTTTATAATGGCTATGATATCAGTGAATCAGAAATATTGTAATAAAACTGTGTCACGAAAAGAAATTAACCTTTCAATCTTGCGCCTGGTTCTTTAATTTTTTTCTCGATGCTTCCATGTAATTCAGGATTGTCTGCAAATGAAAAATGAATTTTGCACGTTCTATTGTTATTATATTCACTGATGTTATATTGTAATGAAATAAATTGAAATTTAACGACTCAAGAAATTCCACTAGGCATCTTTACTACAATTGGTGGAATTGCCAAATTGGATCGCTTCTATGTGAAATTGATGGTACTGGAATTTGTTGAATCGTTCTAGTTGGGTCATTAAATTTCATTTTATTTAATATGCTCTGGTCATACTTCAAACTGAAAGTATATGTCACTGAACTCCGTGGTACTGAATGGCCAGAAATACACAACATTTGCGTCCGCACGCATATGTATCTTTGGTCAGCAAATTTTTAATGCGCATGCGCAGTAGAGATTATTGAATCGAGTCAAAATGGCCGAAACAATGGCGACAAGGAGTATTCACAAGCGAAACCGAAGGATTTTAAACACTTTTTTACTAGAAATGATCCTTTGGAACTTGAAGAGAAAGAAAAATTTCCCAAACGGGAATATTTACAAGGACTTTTTAATGTTGAGCGAATTATTTCCTGTCGGGGCAGAGGTCAGGTACGAATGTTTTTAATATTAAAATAACACTGTAATATACTGTATTCATTGAACAAAAAGCAAAAAGAATTTAGCTCATACACAAGTTATTCTACAAACTTTAGAATAAACGTAAGCTCTAACTGAAATTATAAATGTTATATAATTATATAAAATAAGTAGAAACTAATATATATCTGTATATTCTGTCTCACTAGAATAAAGAATATCTTATAAAATGGACTGGGTTTAATATGGACGAGTGTACTTGGGAACCTAAGGAAAATATTCCAGAGT